GAAGGAGTGGCTTTACAACAACTCTGTGACTGTTCTTGAATGGCCCAGCCAGAGCCCTGACTTAAACCCCATTGAGCATCTCTGGAGAGACCTGAAAATGGCTGTCCACCAACGTTTACCATCCAACCTGACAGCACTGGAGAGGATCTGCAAGGAGGAATGGCAGAGGATCCCCAAATGCAGGTGTGAAAAACTTGTTGCATCATTCCCAAAAAGACTCATGGCTGTATTAGCTCAAAAGGGGGCTTCTACTAAATACTGAGCAAAGGGTCTGAATACTTATGACCATGTGATATTTCAGTTTTTCTTTTTTAATAAATCTGCAAAAATGTCAAAAATTCTGTGTTTTTCTGTCAATATGGGGTGCTGTGTGTATATTAATGAGGGAAAAAAATGAACTTAAATGATTTTAGCATATGGCTGCAATATAACAAAGACCATGTGATATTTCAGTTTTTCTTTTTTAATAAATCTGCAAAAATGTCAAAAATTCTGTGTTTTTCTGTCAATATTTGGTGCTGTGTGTACATTAATGAGGAAAAAAATGAACTTAAATGATTTTAGCATATGGCTGCAATATAACAAAGAGTGGAAAATTTGAGGGGGTCTGAATACTTTCCGTACCCACTGTATATACGCATACTGTATGTGTATAAAAATTCCCCACTTGCCCCACTTCAGGGCGGTCTTATATTCCTTCCTTCAAGCTCGGGTCCTCTACCAGAGGCCTGTGTCAGGTCCGCTCGGCGCACCCTGCCTCCTTTCCCCTTTCTCTCTGCCGTGCTCTCATCCTGCAGGCTCAGCGACACAGCTGAACTGCATCATCTGCTAATTTACTCTCTAGGTGTAACGCACAGCTGAAGCACATCCCCGCTAATCATTCTTCCCTATTTAAAGCTCTGGCAGACGCTCCTTCGTCACCAGATCATTAAGTAAGAAGGACTATGCTAAATCGTTGACATTAATGCAGTGATGGCGATTATGTTAATAGAGTTTAACATTGATACGGTGATGTGAATGTTAAGACACAATGTCAACAGTGAAATCGAGTTTTATGTTTTGATGCGGCCACACATGTTGGCGATCTTTCCTGCTGTGATCACCTCCGGTGATCTTCCCTGTGGTGGGTACCTGACAGCGCTGCACCCGCCCTGAGTACCAGACGGCGAATGCTACAGCAAGCGCTACACCTGCCCTGAGTATCTGACGGCGAATGCTACAACGAGCACTACATCTGCCCTGTCCTCTGGTTCCTGTGTCCCTCCAGTCATCACACCTGCTGCTGACTCACACGCCGTGTCTCCTGGTTCCTGCCGCTCTCCTGTCCACTCATCTGTCCATCCTGGTCCTCTGCAACAGTTCACTTCTGGCATACAGCCCCAAGCCCCAATAACAGGCCCGGCTGAGCTTGATTCAAGGGCTGCTGACCTGAGACTGAAGATCATGAGCAAGATGGACACCTGGAACTCCCGTGCCCGGTTACCAAGACTAAGTGAAGTGCCTTCTGAAAGTCTACTGGATAATGTGAATGCAGCACTAAGAACAGAGACTGAACAGTTCTGGAAGAGCATATGACATCACATAACAACAATGCCCAGTGGCTGGTGGACCTAAGAACAGACCGCAGCAACCTCCCTGCACAAGACCCAGTAATCATCACAATGGCAAACATTCAAGAGCAGGTCTCAAGTATGAAGAGCTGGACAGCACCAGGCCCTGACATGATACACGCCTACTGGTTAAAGAAGCTAACTTCACTCCATGAGTGCCTGGCGGGACAAATGAACCAGCTACTAATAGATAGAACCCACCCTGAGTGGTTAACTAAAGGCCGGACAGTCCTGATCCTGAAGG